GGGCAAGGTAGACAGCTGTTTAATTTCCTCTGTCTCCAAGGTAGCTATACCAAAAGCCCACCAGAACCCTTTTGGGTCCTTGAAATACCCTCTCCTGAGGTAGTCTATACCAAGGATGCACGGAGCCTCTGGGCCAGTCACAATGGCATGCTTTTGCCACTCATTCCCAGTTAGGCTCACTTTGGCCTCCAATACAGTTAGCTGTTGGGATCCCCCTGTCACTCCAGAAATACAGATGGGTTCTGCCCCTGTATAGCTCGATGGCATTAGGGTACACTGTGCACCAGTGTCTGCTAGAGCCTTATACTCCTGTGGGTCTGATGTGCGAGGCCATCGAATCCACACAGTCCAGTAAACCCGGTTGTCCCTTTCCTCAACCTGGCTGGAGGCAGGGCCCCTCTAGTCCTGGTCATAATAGTCATTACTCATGTCTTGCAAATGCAAATCAAAAGTCCCTTTATTAAGATCAGAAATAAAATCAGCCCCTCAGTCTGTGGAATTGCTCACTGGAAACTGGAACAGCAATTTTCCTGGAAGAACCCCCTTTTGTGATTGTTCTTCCTTGCAACTCACATACCCATGCCTCTAGAGTCAAGATAGATTATCAGTCCCGCTTCCTCATGTCCTCTCCATGGCCATGCAGGTGAAACCACAGGGTGGCCCGTGGTGTGTATCCACTTGCCTGGGTGGCAAATAGCATCTTACTTGAAGGGATACCTTTCCTTCACGCCAGACAGGAGTCGCCTCCAGAGGCTGAGGACTTGTGCCCCTTTTCCAATCGCTTTGTCAATGACCCCTTCCCTAGATAGGGATCCCAGGTGTTTGGCTTCCCTACCCTCTAATTCCAGGCTACTGGCCCCATTATCCCAGCGTCAGAGCAGCCAGGTGACAGTGTGCTCCCCTGGACAATGACTGAAATCTTTTTACATATCTTACAGCTCACTCAGGGATAGGGATTGGGTGGTTACCATCTCATTTGTGGGTTCTGCCTCTCCCTCCTCCTGTTCTCATGATGGCCCTGGTTCATCTTCATCCCTTACTAAATGAGCTGAGTTTCTTGTGTATTGGGGCAACTGATACCGGCACAAGTTGTTTTTCTGGTTCAGCTTCGGTGCCTGTCGCCAGGGTTGGAGTAACCACAGTGCCTGTCACTGGGGTTGGAATAACCACAATGCCTGTAGCGATGGTATTCCTAAATAGTTCTTTAACCCTAAACAAGACCTGAATCACATTCAGGAGACATAGTAATAGGAACGTGCTTCAATAATTTGAACATCCCAACGATGTTCAGAAATTCTCAAGAGCTGCTGTAGCTAGCCTGAAGGAGAAAGGGAAGGTGAAGGAGCAGGGGAAAGTGTCCCCCTTTGTCTCCCGCATAAATTAGGTCTCTGTAGAGAAAAGGTGAAGGGTGTAATTATTAATAGTTTCCAAGAGATGGCTCCCAAAGTACGGGGATGACAGCAGTACTGAGTACAATCTCACAACCAATAATTTTATCATACCATAAGCCACTGTTACACAGTACGGCAAAGCGATAACTTTAATCCAGCTCCCAGCAGTGATAAACAGCACCACAGGGAGTGCATACGGCAAGCAAGATAGACTCATAGAATCGTTTAGGTTTTAGAAAAGACCTTTAAGATGTTACATGACACAACTCTGAGAACAAGCAGAACAACTCTGAGAGCAAATAAATCATCATTGTGACCAGTGACTATTAAACTAATGTAATGAACACTTATCACAAATTTGTTTTAACACACCCTGGTCAGATTTGTCATTATCTCAACCCTTCGTGCCCCACGTTGGGTGCCAAAAAGGATGGTTGTGGTTTAACCAGCAGGCAGCTAAACACCACACAGCCGTTTGCTCACTCCCCACCCCAGAGTGGGATGGGGGAAAGAATCAGGGAAAAAAAAGTAAAATTTGTGCATTGAGATAAAGACAGTTTCATAGGACAGAAAAGGAAGGGAATTTAATAGTAATAACAACAACTACTAATAACAGTAATGATAAAAGAATATACAAAAATAAGTGATGCACAATGCAATTGCTCACCACCCACTGACCAATGCCCAGCCAGTTCCCAAGCAGCAGTCCCTGCCCCCCAGCCAGCTCCCCCCAGTTTATATACTGAGCATGACGTCATATGGTATGGAATATCCCCTTGGTCAGTTTAGGTCAGCTGTCCTGGCTGTGCCCCATCCCAGCTTCTTGCTGGCAGAGCACAAGAAGCTGAAAAGTCCTTGAACAGTGTAAGCACTACTTAGCAACAACTGAAACATCAGTGTGTTATCAACATTATTCTTATACTAAATCCAAACCACAGCACTATACCAGCTACTAAGAAAACAAAAAAATTAACTCTATCCCAGCCGAAATCAGGAGACTTAAATAAATATGTCTGTAATTACATGTTAGCTGTTGTTGAAAGCATGATAGCTATTGCATTTTTGAAGAAAGCCATGAATATTAATATTCACAATGACTTACACAATGCTAGAGATGTATGTAATTCCTTACAAAACAAAGATCCCAACACGTATTGATCCAGAGCCTTGAATACGAGTGCTGTTACTCAAACCAAATGTCTCATCTTTTGAGCAGTTCCTTCAGTACGAAGAGTATTTACAAAGCTTCCCATTAAAAACTTCTCTCATTAAAATCCCAGATGAAGGAGCCTTAATGCATTATTTCAAAACATCAACAATTTGTCTTAACTATTAAAGAACTGATCCCAGAAATAACAGTTGTCAGTAAAGTGACTTTTGACTTTTCAAGAGCAAATACACAACTTCAGTTCAAAACAGAATAGTTCCAAACCAAGCACCATTGCTCTTCAAAAACAATAATTACACTGGTATGAGAGGAAAGGAATAGTGTACTTACGGTCAAGAGCAGTGGTGGCCAGAAGGTATGTAATGGGAGAGACACTCATGGCTTCAATTCTTCCAGAGTGAAAGGTATACAGGCACTCTGGATCACGGGTCTGCAGTGCAAAACAGAAGAACAGAAATTCTGCTACATTCTGGAGCTGCACTTACAAGGTATTACCAGCCATACCTACAGTGAACCTGAAAAATCTACACAGGTGCTGTTTGTGTGAACAAAATTTGGCATGCATGAGGTACCTACATGCAATTCCTTTTTTTTTTTTTTTTAAATTTAAATGTTCATAGGAAGATCGTGAGCAAAATTAGTGTAGGAACATTAAATTCATTTAAAATTCCATCATTTTCTATGTGAAAATAAAGGGGAATGCCTTTCATTAAGTGGTTTCAGGTTTGGAATTAATATTTTTAACAAACAGCTGTTGCTCTGAAGGAAAAGAAAATGCTCTCAAGCCTAGGGCTTATGCTGCCTGGGAAATCATTTAATCATCCAAGGAATTCCAGGTTTTGCTATACATTTTTTACATTAGTCTTTATAGTATGCTTTGTACATCTTTTATTTACCATAAATTCTTGGAACATAATTTTACCTGTTGCCACAGGACTTTATTCCACTCAAAGGGATTGTTCCCATTTACTTTAATGTGTTTGGGAGCAAAAATTAAATGCCCCCATTTTAACTGTGTCATCTATTTCTCCATGAAAAACATTTCCAGTAATAACACTAGTAACCAGTAGAATAAAACATGTGAAGTGCATTTTGTCTTCTCCTTGTTTTTCCTAGTTCTTTATGTCATTTAGAGACAACAGTAAGGATTGTTTCAAATACCTATCTAGATAGGATATATCAATTCTTCTTGAACTCATTTCCTGCATCCATGCATCTTTTATTACCAGTTTATGAGAATAAAACTCCTTTAAGGTAACTTGAATTTGGCAGCCAAAATTTCAGGAATAAAAAAATCAAATTCTTTTTTATAATCCTGCACAGTCATTATAATCAATAACATTGTGAAAAGAATTTTTTAAGGGAAAAAAAAACCCTGTTTCAATGCTAAAATTTTCAACTATGCAGCTTCATAAAACACAAACTTCGTTGCAGATGCATCCAGTATAGTTAAAGGAAGTTATTGCAAAGGAACTGAAGCAATCAGAAGAAAGAAAAAGAAAACAAACTTACCATATTTGAAAAAGTCAAATCCAGCTTCCAGATTGCTCCATTGGTATCCTGAAGAAGAAAAAACAAAACATGTAACTTGAATATTTTCAAACTCAATTTGGAAATAAAACTGCCCACAATGACTCCTTAAAAATTCCTTAATGATTATCATTGTGAAACTGAAATGACTGAACGTAGTGATATTGGTCCTATCAGTCCTATCCATCAGTCCAGGATAACAGAACTTGGGCAATACCTTTTGACATTCTCCTATTCTTATGCAGTTCTGGCTCTCAAAGCCAGAGTCTCACGCTGGTGAGTTACTATACACTAAAAATATAGAATAGAATAGCATAGCATAGAATAGCATAGTTCAGTTCAGCTGGATCTAGTCCAACTGCCTGACCACTTCAGGGCTGACCAAAAGGTAAAGCATGTTATTAAGGGCATTGTCCAAATGCCTCTTAAACACTGACAGGCATGGGACATAAACCACCTCTCTAGCAAGCCTGCTCCAGTGTTTGAAAGAAGATTATATATATAAACTCCAGAAGAAGAATTCTGCAAAAAAGAAACGTACTGATTTGTAATGGAATCCTGCTGTTACTTAACATCACCTCCCTCATTCCATGTTTCTCCAGCAGTGTATGTACTTGAGTGTATCTTACCTGAGCATACCAAACAGGCTGTCCACAGTCATGAACTTTTGACATGAAACTCAGACTGACATTCCTGCCAACATGAAGTTCATTCATAGGCTCCACCTCCAGTAACCCTGTGTCATCCACAGAATCAGCAGCATCTATTGCCTCAAAGTTCCACACCTTCATGGAGTTGGAAGCATTAAAAAAAAAGGGGGGGTTTTATAAGGCCAGGTTATGTTTTCATACATGATTAATATGGAAATTGAAAATTATAAGAAACCAGGGGATTGTAGATTCTACAGGTAGAGTATGAAACCTGTCATATCGGCCTCACTGCTTTGAATGTAACCTAGAACAGTTACAATCAGCAACTACTACCTGATACATTTGGGTGCAATGCAAAGTACATGTAAAAATTGTCTGTCCAGTTCTGAAACAGTAGCATAAATTCAGCTATACATGGCAGCCTCAGAACTACAGAACGTAAACAATATCTGCCTGCTCTTAGCATTGTTCATACTGAGGCAGCACTGAAGAAAGAATGGGAAATCTAACACATCCATGTTCTTCTCTCTGGGGTAAGGACAAGACATGAGTTGGCACCCTTATAACCAAGTGAATTTTCCTAATGGGATAGTACCAATTTATAAAACACAACAACAACAACAAAAACCCCAGGGTGTTTGAAACCCTCCACTGTCTATAACAGTCAGCTTCCCATTGATTATCTGGGTCTTTCACGCATCAGCAGAAGACACATCATGTCTCCCCTCAAAGAGCAGGCAAACAAGATTGCAAAATCCTCGATAATGGACAGGTGAGATCAGAAACTGGTGGTATGGATAAAGAAAACTTTTTTACCTTAATTTATAGAATTATATATTAGCTTTGGGATGCTTTTTCTTTCAGTTGTTCCTCTATTTCAGCATCTGTATCTCTGAGATGCTAGTTAATTTCTATGTCATTTTAACATTAATAATCTGAGCTTTCAAATACTCAGAAAATTAATTTCAAATATGGCCATAGTTTATCCTTTGAAATAACACCAAATGTATTAATAGGCCTGAAAATTATAAAGATTAACCAAAACTACACATGGAAAAAAAGTTAGAATGCAGGCAAGAACAAAGATTTTAGAGACTCACTGAAAATTGTTTTGATTTACTAAAGTAAAAGGAGATCTATTTACTACTATTAAACAGAGAATGTTGTGTGAACACTATCTGATTCAGACATATACACTGTGAAGATATGCTCTTATTCTGTTTGTTCTAAAAACTCATTCTCAGAAAGCAACTGCACTGCAAAATTGCCTCCATACATAAACTCTGGTAAAGAAAATATGCAACCTGCTGACCACAAATTCACCTGCTGACGACAAATTTGCACGCTTAAAGGCAGAGCAGAAGAAAAACTCACCCTAATGAAGCCATCTTTTCCAACAGTGACAAGTTCTCCTTCATCCAAAACTAACTGGCTGACAGGGCCACTGTGGCAGGGCTTGTGTCCAGCTCGACAGAGCTCTACTTTAATGAGGCCCCCTTCCCAAAGCAGCAAGTTGCCCCACTCAGTCCCTGAGATAACCTTCAATGCAAATGAAGAGAAATACATAAGCACCTGCACTTAACCACACAGAAATATTGGCAAGAATCTGGTTAACATTTGTGACTTCCCTCCATGAAATCATTAAATTGATAGCAATGTACAGATATTTGCAAGAGAAGGAGTAAAGGGTGAAAAGACTCAACTTCTTTGCAATGTGACATAATTTACATGCACTGAAATGGTTAAAGATTAGGCCTAGCAGTCTTCGTATTTCTTTACACTAACATTTTTGCTACCCCATTAGAGGAGCCTCAGCTCTAAGCCAACAGAGATCTTTTGTCTGAGAATTACAATACTAACCGTACTTTTCAATTATTACAAAGCAAGCCAGGTTTTTGGCAAATTAATGTCAATATTAGCTTATCAGAGCAGTGCATTGAGGGTGTAATTGAAATCACTTTGAAGCAAATAGTAATTCTCCAACTTAGTCAGTACACTTTATATCAAAACCTGAGAGGGAACATAAAATCAATTAAACTTTTTCTTATTCACCTTCCCATCAGGCAGCTCCACATAACCTATAATGTCAGTCACTGCTGTTTTTCCAAACCTGCCCAAAGCTCCTTGTAACTTGAGACCAGTGAATGTCAGAGCCATCTTCCAGAACCTGAGTATAGAAAAAACATCTGTCTCTGACACGAGATTTCCTAAACACACTCTTCAGTCCCTTTCAGACATTGTAATAATGTTACCAGGGATGCCTCTGAGGTAAGGGCTGTTCATTTATTATTCTTTTTCACAGAAGACCTTGGGTTTTTCTTTTTAAAATGAGACAAAGCTTTGTAACTATA